TCTGTGCTCTAGAAAGTCGCAGATGTGAGGTACCTACTGGACACTCCTTAACGGAAACGAATGTGGCTTTTGTTGTTGGTTGCTCAATATTCCTCGTCACTATATAAATAACTATATTACATGTATTACAGTAGCAGCGTTGTAGTTTTACTATTGTGAAAAATTTCTATCAGCTATTTGAGCAAAAGAAATGGATGCGAAATGAGACCGGAAGTATAGGAATCGTTTGTGCTTTTTCTACAGCATAACAATCTGCTTCTATATCGTTCTATTATGATTTACAAGAGAAACGCCTATTTTATAAAAACCAAGAACAATTTGTGCAGATCGAGGAAAAAAATTTGAGTTCACTACCGCGGTGCTTGCCATGGAAGGTCAAATGCATGTGAGAGCCATTAACATATTGGCACAGAGGCGATTCATATGTGGCTCATTATCTTCCGGCTGTTTATTTTGTCGCCTAAAACTTTATTGGAGCACCCTTTGCTCCGAATCGTTCGATGTTTATTCAACACAGATGCTGAGGTGAAAATCGGTTGAGAATAGCTCTATTCTACATTTAAAAACAAACAATGGAACTTTCTTTTCGGAACAGTGATTTTTTTCATCCATTGCTTTGAATTCCTTGCTGGACACTCGGGCTCGGCTGAAATTGTGCGCCGTAGTTTGCAACTAACGTTTTTCCGATACGATAGGATGGAGGACTGAGACAACCTCTATAGATGTCTCTTTAACATGCAGGGCTTCTCGTTTACAAAGTGCTTCTTTAACAATTTTTCTCTGTTTTGCCCCTGTCCTTCCCATACAAGGTATGTCTTCCCAAGTATTGCATAATCTGAACTGCAATTTTCACAATAATTCAAAAAACCGACTTTCGGCAAACCTCCGCAAAAATGATTGATATCTTGATTTACATGTTCTTATAAAGTGATCTTGTCGAGCCGATCCGAAGTTGTTATAAGGTATCATCATCGTTGTTGTTGTTGTTGTTGTTTTCGTTGTTGTAGTTCGATGGCTGACGCTTCGGCGATCTCGCTCTCCTCAGAGCCGTGCTGTTACGAGTGGGACTCAACACGGCTCTAAGTATGGCGAAATCATTGAAATTTCGTCCATCGGCCAATAACAACAACAACGACGACGACGATACCAATTTCGCATTAACAAGATCTGTTATTGCCACAACCTGTTGTTTGAAATGATATCTTTATTTTTTACTTTTTATTCATGTTGTCGCTTTCATTTCCCATTTTTCGTTTTCTTCGATGTTTTCATGCTCGTTAACATTCAGTAATCGGCAGAACTCGCGATGTCTTTAATCTATTCGTCTCACACAGAGTTCGTATATAATTAGCTGTGTCACCTGTAGTCCCGTTAGTCGTTGACTGACTCGAGCTGGCGCCGGTAAATCTTCCACTTTTCTCTGTTTTGCTCCTGTCCTTCCCATACAATTACCAATTTATATATCTCAGCGTGCGGTAGAGAAATGGATCGTGTTGTTGTTTGTAAGAAGCTAAGAGTTACATTTTCAGAATCTTGTAAAGTGAGAGCGTTGGTTGGACTGCTAATGTTGGATTTTTCTGCTAACCATTAACCCTTTTTTCTTCCATTGTTTTGAAAATACTGATATATTTGTAAGTTGTAACGCTGGGTAACTTTCTCCTCAAGTAGCGAATGTTTGAGAGAATAACTCTGCAAAAAAAAGCGGTTTGCTGGCAAGTGAGAGAGCTATCAAAAACGTTTTTTTTGCGGCAAAAGAGGAAAAAAATAAGAATTTCGCACGATATGCTCCTTTTTATAGAAAAAGTGATGTGAGTGAACTGATGTCGTCATCCACTCCATTGATGGGCACGTGTGGCGCAGTGATCGTAGGCGCTCTGCAATACACATAGCATCGATTCCCACGCCCCGGTTCACCAAGCCTTCCATCCCTCCAGGATCGTTAAATTGGTACCAGACTTCTCTCGGAGGATATCAGCACTGGCTCGATACATCGGTAGGCCACCGCCAGTCATTATTGTAAAGACCAGATATGCATTCAATCAGCTCAAGCGATGCTTAATGAAGTCAGATGCATGGTGCATCCCTAAGGGATTGATCAGCGCCGAGAGCTTTATCCTTCTTCTTCTTTTTTATCCACTTCATCGCTTCCTGTGAGGTGTGGGTGATCGTCTTGGAAACAATGGTCCCACTCTTCGTCAGGGAGCAGCCTAGAAGCCTTGGAGCATTTCTAATGGAACTGCTTTTTTATGTGGAGTCATCTTCGAGTTGACGGTGAGAGACTTCACTTTATTAGTGGAGATATTTCGCAAATACTATTACTTTATAGAATATTCTAAAGCAAATGACTATCAATTTCAATTTATTGGTATCTTCTGAAATGGTCATTGGAACGGGCCGCTGATATATGAATACCAGGTAGTTAAAAAGATTCGGTCGGATTAGCTGCTCGCCTTCGCCTGTGCCACGTGGGGCGCTTGGTGATTAACAGTCACAATGCTGGACTCTTGAAACTTGGGTACTTAATCCGTTTATATATATAATATTTACACGATAACGCAATTAGACTAGAAATGTAGGTACAATAAATTGCAAGCAAAGTGGTTCAATAGGTAGTAATTCTGACTAAATAGAATACCCTAAGAATGATATAGAGCAATATAGAGCAGGAGTTTAAGGCATAGGGATAATCAGATATTGTTCGTGTGACAATATTAGTATATCTATAATAGCGTAAAAATTTATCTTATAACAATGTAAGAATGTGATAGTGATAGCGGGTTGTTTCAGTGATGAGGAAGATTTCGCACAGTGGAGTACTTATGAGCAGTGTAGGCGTTTGAGACAATTGCTGTATTAGCAACACCTAGGATAGATGAAAACTAATGACAGCATAAATATTATGATGATACGAGAGCGCAGCACATTACGTTTGTCTAAACAGATGAATTGGTGTGGCAGTGGTGAATTTTGTGGATAACAACTGATGTCGACATTAGTCACGTTTAGCCATTGTTACTGCAAAAATTGCGTCCGGTTTAAAAAAAAAACTAGTTTTTATCAAAGTGGTCAGTTTAGATCGCTTTGGAAACTTTCGGATTGCACATAAATCTGAGAGTTTTACATGATTAAATAGAGTAGGTGTAGGCGTAGTTACGAGTGGGAGACTCAGCGCAGCTCTGAGGAATACGAATTCGCCGAAACGTCAGCCATCGACCAACAACACTAACAACAACGACGAGGACAACGAAAACCATTACCGACCTCGTATTAGCTCAAAAAGATCAGTTTATAAGAACATATGAATAAATACGTATCATTCCTTATTTTAACAGGGAAAAAATGCTCGTTAACATTCACTATTCAACCAGGACGCCCTAATTCAGAAAAGCTGACTTAACCATGACGAGATGTTTGTCCATTGTGGACAGGTTCCTGTAAATCCAGAAGTGGAGAACATTTAGGCCAGTGTTCATGAGACCATGACATAATAGTAGACGTAAAGTGCTGTTATGTGTTAGATAAGGAGAAACGATTTTATACTAAAAAAGAGAACGTTAGAACAACGAAGAATGTTTTCGTCACGGATGGTGTGGATAATATAATCCTATTGCCATGCTCGGCGTATACTGTAGTAAAGATGCTTTAGAAATGTGAAGTATTCGAGCTTTTACATTCGTTATAAGGTCGCATCTTATGCTATGAAATGATGAGAAATGTTTATTCATGACTAAGGCGAAGGTTGTGAATGCTACGAAATGAAGGACAAGCACATCAAATTATTGACAATCACAATTCCTGCTCTGGTGGGTGCGACTCGGGATCTATTCATCGAACATGATTCGGATGGCAGAAACGAAAAGAAATAATATTATTCCCGCCGAACGTCATGGAAACCATGCTCATCCGCACTATGGAGCGTATGAATGAGACGAGAAGGCGGCAGTTGGTCAAGCAATAGCCAAACCCACACACGAACCTGGCCATCACTAAAAATGACGATTGCTAGGTAACGAAACGAATCGAAGAAACGTCACGGGTCACACGACATGGCGGGATGAATCTTTTAGTAGCACTAACTGAGTTTTAGTACATTTTCAGAGACAAACAGATACATAGTTCTTAATTTTTGTCCTTTCCTAACCTGTTTTTCTCAGCAAGTCAATAATACAGAATGAAGATTTCCAAGGGCAAATATTTTTCATCCAAGGAGTGCTGCTTACGATCCTAAAATTCTCGTCGTCATGGTTACAATGTCACCTCATCTCGTCGCCACACGGCCTATCTAATAACTGCATTGAGCTTTTTTCCTTAAGAGAGCAGACCTTTGAGAATATTATTACACTACTGAAAATAATAGACAGGTGCTAATGTCTGCATGGAGCAATAATTCGATTGGTACCATGGCTCAATTGGCCGTTCTAGTATAATTCTGATCAGCTGCTGCCTGTACCAATACTTTCATTCTCAAATGTATGTGTATTACCAGAGTATCTTATGTAATACTATACGTAACACTACTGTCTAGTGCCACCACTACAAAATACTAGATGCAAATAAACCACTATCCATATTGGTTACCATGGCTACGTTAGCCTTCGAAACTCGGTTAGCAGATTCGTGGTCAAGACATCACATTCGAGAAACCCGGCAGGAAGTTCACAATCATGGACGATCGTCTGCCAGATTGGTCCCTCGTTGGTTAGTTTTGTGCTAACTAAAGTTTTTAATATGTTTTTTCTCCAACGCAAGCACAAAGTTTTGTTCAATTTATGGACCAACACCGAGGTGCTATTAAGCTTCTATTCGCCTATTGTTTCGACTCATTCAGCTTCTCCAGAGCCACGATAATCGAAGTCGATTGTTGTTCTCCCAATATTTTGCGTACTTCATGTATGTTATTGTTTTCCTAGCTATAGATGAATTGTCGATAACGTTGCTGGAAAGCGGCCTAGCTCGCTTCTCGACTCTTCAAGCCGTTCTACCTTCAATCATCGCCGTCGATGTCACTTCCGATGAAGCTGCACACCGAAGTCAAAAGCTTTTACGGATTTCTCAGATGCAGATCGAATACCTACTGGTCAGTAACAAGATATTATGATTAATTAATTCTCGTCAGGAATTTGCTGAAGTTTTGCAGAAGTCACAGCATCAGCTACTGCAGCAAATTAAAAAATTGGAAGACGAATTGCGAACGAAGAGGAAAGAAGTGAAGCAACTAAAAGCAACGATTCTTCACAGCGATGCACCCTTCTTCAAGGTAGGCTGAAAAGTTCTTTAGAAATCATCGTCTCCACTCGATGCATTTCAGTGTTCTCCATGTGGAAAAGTGTTTGTGAGTCAAGATTTTCTGGCGAGTCATTTAAGAAGAAGACACAATGAAGGCAGCAGTGATTGCAGTAGGGAATCCTGAGGTGATCTTCTCTTTTTTCATTAACATCATCACACCATTCTTCATACCCAGATCTCCATGGTGGGCCCTTTACTTATTGTCATCACTTTGCTCACTTGTTTCCTATGCACCTACAATTCATCATTGTCCGATTTTTAAAATTTTCTGCCAGTATTGAATTCATAATTAAGGAACTGTCAATGTGTACAACTCTTTTCACTTGTCATATGGTACTTTTTGTCGTACTTTTTATGTGTAATGTGTTAATGACTTTTCCTTCATGGTTATTTTGCGTTTAGAATATACTCTTATTGAAGCCCAGTGTACTGTAGGAAGTAGTCGGCTCGACTCGGCTCAGTCTTGAATTTCTGAATAAAAGTTCACAAAACTTCTAAAGCCTTTTCAAAGGAATTTTTTCTCACGTGCTAGAATATTCAAGCCCTTCCAGACCTTCAACAAAATCACTCCTCTGGTAGCCGTAGGAGTTCGCCTGTGACAGTGCTTGAATCGTCTACAGTAACTCCTGTAACACCTCTTCTTTATGTCTTCTAGTAATGTTACTTGAGTCGTTCAATAGCGAAGTATTTTTTGCTAAAATTCATTACCGCTCTGCCAATAGCATCAACATCTATTAGTGCTGGGTGTCTTCAGCTTCCAATCCATCGATGAAACTGAACCTGAGTGATACAGTCCGCCTTAAGTCTCGTAATCGCGCAAGTTGTTTGACACTTTTTTTTCCACAAAAGTTTTCACTAAAATAACTTTACTTGGATCAAACGCACTGTTAGGTAGAACAGCGCGCTTGACTGTAATAGAAAGCCTGCAAAACCCATCTTTCTGTTGTGGACGCTACCTTTGTTGCTCTGTCTAAATTTAGGTCATTGCAGTATATGGAAATAAGTTACCACCTTCATTGTCTGCTCCTTGTTTAGTATCCCAACCGTTTTCGTTAGCAATCACAGGGCTCCATTCTGAAAATGCTGTCTAATGTAGTGACAGCGTCGAAGATTCACTTAACCATCGATGGCCTTGCTTTGTCTCTCTCTCTGTGTCTTTCGAAAAATTTCGACTGCGGTCTCAGGTTAACTAGGTTTAATGCGTCTTTTATTTCGCAAATCGTTCCCGTTGGCTGGTGATTGCTGATGGCACCGTTAGGATAAAAAACGATCCGAGAGAAAGGCCAAGCAAGAGCTTCGGTAGTGCACTGCGCAGCAGGTGATCCTCCGGAAAGGGTAATCGTGGGTTTGAATCAAACCTGAGGTCCGGGTTTTGCAAATACCTCGGCATCATTGTGGTTGTGCTTCACATAGTATTCTGCCATGAAGGAGTAAATGGCAATAAATGAAAGCTGAACAGAATTGAAGATTGTGTTTTTCGTCAATCTTATTCAATTTGTCGCGAGGATGACCAAGAGCATTGAATTAAAAACGCTCGGCTAGGGTAGATCTATTCTGATGTATGCTATCCATCTTTGCACTACTATATATCACTAATCTCTGGAACCGGTTCTCGTGAAAGCATTCGCGAAATGGGTCGTTCTTGCTTGCGAGACATCCTGGTGATGCGTACGAAGTTCGTGCGCCGTACATTCGTCTTCGTGTTGTTCGTCTTCGCTTCGGTATTCGCACTTATTTCTTATTTTCGATCAATAGACGGTGTGTGAAATGTGTTTCATACCGTAATAGTCATTTAATTCTTTGACATAAACTAGAGCTACCATGTCGATTGACTAGAAATCACTTTGTTTTTAAACTTAAAACGAAGACTACGGTGCTCCAATCGAGTGGTTGGATTTACTGTACACCGTAATATACTTGAAGACTCTTGGTTCATTAATCCACACCATAACAGTCTAAAAGATAAAGCGTTCGGCGTTGACTAATCATTTTGGGATAAGCCATACAATCCACCTCATTGGTAGCATTAACAGAGTACGTTTCCGAATGCATTTCTAACCTATAGTGGGGGAAAATATCGATGCGTCTTGTACTTCATATAATACTCTGTTATGAAACCAATAATGGCAGTAGATAAAAGCGATGCATTGTGGTTTTGACTGCATCCTCAGCTTAACTATGTTTAACGCGAATTTGTGCTTCACAAATGATTCCCGATAACGTGAGAGTAAGGCAGAATAAGGGTCTCAGTGGCGTCGTGGGTAACATATGAGCCCACGGAAAGGATAATCGCAGTTCGATTTTGCCTGCAGTTCACGATTTGCAAATATCTTAGCAACATCGTGGTTATCTTGCCAGGGTTTTAACCTCCTAGCCACGACTGGCATTAAATCGTGGATTCCGGAGGGATGGATGGCTTGGTCAGCTCGCCATGGACATAGGATAGAATTTTGAATAAATTCTTGTTTGTTGCAGTGGTCAAATAACCATAGCTCTCCACGCAGGTTTGCAGTATCTGACCTATTATGTAACCACAATGAGTGAAGTTTTAATAAATGAGTATCACAAATTCCAGCATATTCCAATCTTGGGTATTATTCATAACAATTTATGTCACTAATTTTCATCACGTGTAAGTATTAACAGAAGGGTAGCGCAGTGGTAGTGACATTGTTCTTTACTCAGTCCACCCAAGCGCCAGTTTTACTCCTAACCGAATCCACCAAGCTTCTCATCCGTAAAATGGAACCAGACTTGTCTGGGACAGGCTCACTTCTTTTTATTTGCCTAGAAACGCACTAGTACGGCTATCTCAGAGCTCGAGAAAAAGTTGAGTCAATCGGTGTTGAACGACATCCATAAATAAGACGAAAATTCTCTAGTAGCAGCCGACACCACGCAAAACCTTCGGAAGCCTTCGTGGATGGTGGATACGAGGACACAAAATGAACGCAAAAAGTGCTAGGATCCTCACAATGTGATAAAAGTGATGTTGGGTCATGTGAAAATATGTTTGATCAACACAGTTATTGGAATATGCGTTCTCTATTCACGTATTTCCTTAGGTATAAAACCAGTTGATTCAGTGTCCTGTAAGCAGCAACGGAGCCACCGCCATCAGTTGGAAATGTGGAAATTCAACAGAGAAGTTACGTGGTTCTACCAGCACTGGTTACCTTATTGATGTTCTGGCATCGCAGCCGAATGACCTCTTCTTCACCGTTGAAAGTTCTAGAAGCTTGACAATTATGCAAATTGGATACAAAGGCAGAATGCATACCTTCTTTTTGACATCTATTGACCTTCAATGGAAAATCAACAGCGGAAATTTTGCGGAATCCTGCTTGAACTAGTAAAAGTATGCTTTTGGAACTTTGGCATGCTCGTAAATGGATACGAAAACGGTACTGGCATATTTCATCCACTCGGGAGATTTTATTTGCTGTCTTGAACAGCTTAAACAAGACGATTTTTCGCTATTGGTACCCTTTTTTCTGTGTGGGTGATAAGACCGCTGTGAAAGATGTGTCATGGTGCGGTCACGGTAGCCAGAGATTTTACATACGCAGGCCGTTTATGCCGAACCAACCAGGATAGAATGCCGTTCGTTTCGTCTTTGAACGCTTTCTTATTGTTGGCAAGAGTTGCAACAAAGAGCGGCGGTATTTCTGCTAAATTCCTGTAGACATAAATACGTTTTAATTTAATGTGATACAAACAGAAAAACCTTTGCTGAACAACCGAAGAGCACTCACAACAAGTAAATTGCATAGTAGTTGCGAAGACTCCTTCAGTTGTCCTTGTCGTTGGGACTGCGAGAAGCACATGTATTTTGAAGCTTTAAACTCAAAAAAGACTCCCAAGTCCGACTTTCTATTAACCTCGGCATTGATTGAAGATATCTTTCTACTTCTGTTCAGCAAACACGAGGTGCTATTTTATTTCTTTATTCACGCACAAGCTGACGTTTCGGCGGATTTCGCCTTCCTCAGAGCCTGGAAGGGTCAAGTTGACAGCAAACCACTCGGCCAAACACCTCCATAACCAAACAGAGAAAACGCTAAACCAAAATTTCAATCACATTTAGCATAGCTCTGCACACTCACCGCTTTCTATGAGTCTTCCACTTAGTATATCGCGTGAAGACCGATCGGTAGGTCCAGAATATGTTCTCGTTGCACTGGATCTTCTTGGATGATGCCAAAAGTTCTTCGTCGTGACGTGATGGTTCAGCGGTGATGTTTCCCTTGCTGAAAAATAGGCTTCCATGGAAATGGTGTACTTTAAGTGAATACTCTATTACACGCTTTCTTTTCCGTTTCGGACTGCGATTTTAAAATCTTCCGTTCCTGTTCTCACTTTTACTAGTCCTTCCTAATCTGATAATGATGTCTCGGACAACAATATTCTTGAAAATACTTTTCACCTCGAGATATCTCAACCAGTTGATAACTTTCTAGCTGTTTGTGCAATTTTAAAACGGATTATTTTCTCTGCGGATGGCGAGCCTCCCGTTACTTAGTTGGCACATGTCGATCGTCCTATTTTTTGTTTATTGTGGGGTGTAGAATTTTATGTGAAGACGATGGCTATTGGTGGAATTCCTTTATTCTTAGCCCGGGTTCGTGTGGGAGTATCAAACTTCTAAACTTGGGATCCTTTGTGGTAAGGATGAACTCCCCTCCACGTTGTAGTTCACTTATACGGGAAAAGGAATCAATGAGGCGTCAAACCATCCTAGGAGTAGCTAGTTCACCTTTAACAGAAACACAAACGCAGTAAAGGATGGAACTGAAGAATGAAGAAGAATGAATATTGTAGTGAAATTTTCACTTTATTTTAGAAATTGAAAAGTGGAAAGATCACTTAATAAACTTTTTAAATAGAAAGTTTCTATCACTTTTGCAACATATCATTTGCCATTTTTTCTTCACCACCGTACTGGTACCAAATTAGTCGCATGATGGCAAATTTCCTTCTGGTCCACAAGGGCGGTGTTTGTGGTGGTGACGCGCTAGGGCAGACTTTGGCTAGGCTGACCTCAGGACTTCAAAGAACCACGATGACTAAATCAGCAAAACTCCGGAAAAGTGGAAACTATGCTGGAGCCCGCACAACTAGTGGGGACGGGCCATTCAGGAATTCAAGCAAGCAAGCATTACTTATCATTTATCACCATCATCCTATTTTTGATTGTATTACCTGGTTAGGGGTCAAATTAAGTTCCTTGCTTAAATTAAAATGTGGTTCTTAATTCTTTCACTTAAGGACTTATTAAGTTCAAAGCAAATAGCAGGTATATTCAATCAATAATTTTCATTGGATAGTTTGTAGATGTGGCAAAAAGAACACAAATTAAAGATATAGTTAAAGAGTCGGCTTCGAAAACAAAAAAGGGAAATAAGGAGTTTGAAATAGCAATCTAGGAATAGCTGTATCCACCTTACGATGATATTTTGTGATAAAATTTCTGAAGTCTATGGATTTGCAGTCGTTTTTGGTGTGACTTTAGCACAAACTCTACATCAACCCTTATTTCTAAAGATAAGAACAAGTAGATGCCGACAAAACCCACACCGATTTTGAATCCATGGAAAACATAAAGAAAAGAAGCTGGTGGACTTGATGCTCTCAAGACAAGATCGGCCAGGAACCTAAATTTCTTTAAGCAACTAACAAACCATATTGGATATTAACAAACGAGAACATGTGGACCACTGCCAGTTTGGCATCTTTTTTTGCTATGTCCCAAACTCAGGGAAAGAAGACGTTTGCGTCGAGCAGTTCGTTACGGACTTGGTCCACAGGAAATATTGCAACCTCTACGATTTAATTTACCAGAAATATTACTCTCAGAAAAAATTTAAGAACCATAATATCTGGACACACGAATCAGAAGAGAATGAAGAAGGTCCTTAATTTATCATAAGCTTTCATAATTTATCATAGTCATAAGAGCCACTAATGCTACGCGGCTTTTCCTAAAACCTTCTCCATGTTGTGGTAGTCTGCGGTAGAAATGTCTCATAATACTTGATACTTGATACCTGAATGGCCCGTCATCACTAGTTGTGCGGGCCCTAGCACAATCACCATTTTTCGGAGATTTGCTGGTTAAGTCATTGTGGTTCCCTGGAATACCGAGGACAGCCTGGCCAAAGTCTACCCCAGGTCGTCGCCACGATAGCAGTCGCAACCCTTGTGGATCAGAGGGAGATTTACCACCATGCGACTTTGATACCAAGGCGGTGGTGGATCCTGGTACTGGTTAACTCTTGGCTAGACTTCCTGATGGAAACGCCGGACTCTTTCTCGGCTTGCGAGACCTTGCCCGAGGGACGAATCTGCCCGGTGTACATCGCAGTCCGATACCCAGGAACATCACCCAGCCACGATGAGGAGGTAAACCGTTGGGAGGAACGTCTCATAATAAAACTGCCAAAACTGAAGTTCGTGTTTATTCACCAAAACATTGTTTTTTTTTCACAATTTCTAAGGAGAGCTAATTAGGTTCAACTCTGCTTACAAGCCGTCTTTTGAATCGAAATACTTCAAAATGCAAAGTATTCGTCCTATGATAGCACCAAAATGTGGGAGAAATCTGCTTGCTTCTTCAGAGTCGGATTTGCCAGAAGAGATCTGAGAAGAAGAAAAGTCGTGCTATCTTTCATGCACATGACATTGCAGAGCTATATGTATTTTTCCTAATTCACGTGGCGCTGCAACGCATATTGCGCGGATCTCAGCGCTTTCTCAATCGATTCAACTCTTCGTACCCATCTTCGACGAAGGCCTTTGGCTTTGGGAATAAGTTGGCCTGTTTCTCGAAGATTTTCTACCCTCTTTAACAACACCTTTTTAATGCTGGTCAGGAAGATTCTCCTTTGAATCCTGGTAAGCTGCACTACGGCTTCCACAAGTCGTCACTACAAGCGATTATAACGCATTGTGAACCTACTTCATACGCAACCTTGTTTCCAACATTTCAACCCCGCAAAGTCGGTGGAAGGCTTGTTCTGCGTCGGCAGGTGGCCGAACCAGGCCATCGAGCATACTCTAGAACGACATCTCTACCACAGAGGAAATGCGTTATCAATAGATAATATGTTTGCTAGTGGCACTTACCCCTAAGGAACTCTTAAAAACAGTTAAATTCCAAAAGTAAAAATATCCACTCTTAAAAAGGAGTTAGTTTTCTCAAAAAAAGAGAAAGAAACTTAGTGCAATAAAAACTTCAGTCGCAACAGAGCGAAGCCTGAGCACTGCCCCACTTAAAAATGCGAAGAGGTCGCAGCTGATTCAACGATCAGTGCTTCTTCGCTATGCGGACACCGATCCACTCATCATATTTTCCGCACACGGGCATTACGACTATATCACCGTTATTCTTTCTTCCTATGGATATTTAATGTGAGTTTCTCAGTAAATGATCACATTCCTTCGACTTTACCGTTTTTTCTACTTCAGGCGTCGGCTTTTCTGTCGCTTATTCGATGAGCAGCTCCGAGAACTGATTCCTGCGTTTGAGACCCGTGTTTTTCCCGAGTTCATAGTTCGATGCCCGGCAAGCGACAGTGCGCGATTTGTTGCCGTGTCGTTGAATCCGGACGACAAAATTGTAATAGGAGACATGCACGATATAGAACAACCAAGAATAGGTAGACGAGCATCGATCCAAACTTATCTTTTATGATAAAGATTTGAATTACATCGAGAAGCAACTATCTCTTCTCTCCCAGCTTTTTTCTTCGTGAGAACGAGATAATGAAGTTTTTCACCAGTTTTCTTTCTTTTAAAAAGTAAATGAGAGACTGTAATGTTTTTTGCTTCTAAACACGTTATCTTTAAAAAATACAGAAAACATTCAGGCAGCGAAGCGTTCTTTAGTGTGTGCTTGGCGCCACTATGGGGAAGCGCTCCTAAATGGTTAATGCTCATTGAGTTTATCGAGTACTACAGGCTTCAGGTTTGTGAACACCTCGAAAAATGTGAATGCCTATTTTAAGTTATTCCAGGGTTTAGGGTGCAGAATATTTCTATATCTATAAGCACGATTGTGACAACATTACTCAAAGTATATTGGATAGTTATGAGAAGGAAGGTACTGTAGAGGTAGTGGAAATCGCTGACGTCACCAATTGCGTGGGAAGACACAGATGTCGCCACCAAATTCAGCTTCAGGTGGGCTAATTTTCACCAACGAGACGCAGCATAGTCTTAATGCTTCCCTTTTTTGAAAATGCCTTCTCAATACGTTGACTACTTTCATTCTTGCTGAACCTCAGTAAGATAACTCGAGCAGACACAAATAACGCCTCGATTTGTCTCTGTCGCTTGTAAAAAAAGAGGAAACAGCTAGAAATCATTCCATTTCTTTAATAGTTTATAGAAACGGACTGTATAAAAATAAAGGAAAGTTCGTGTAGTAGGAGGTAAATGGCTTTCGCTCCAACACTGCCTCATTAGAGTTCCCGTATGCCTCATTCGACAATAGTGGTTGTGACCTCTTTTGAAGAATCATTATTGTCTCCTTGGCAAACCTTTTAATTTACACCAGTGAGAGCATTATTGTGGAAGATAGACCTTTGGCTATTTCTGGTTGTTATAGTCTCATGAAGGATCTTTTCATACTGAATCGTGAAGGGTTAGCCTTCTGCGGTTGCTTATGTCTCAATAGAGTCGAAGGCTTCTTCAAGCCGCTAGAAGTAGGACATAGCGATCTGTTGTCCTCCTAGCAATTCAGGATATTTTGTTTCCATGTACATGTGTTTCATTGCGTTGAATCGTTTTCGGAAGCACATGGTAGTTGCGTAAGTCTTTGAAATTTCACCTTTTGTGCAACAACATCATCGTGTTTATTCATCACAGTGGCTTCACACTGATTTATAGCTTAACGTTCTCTTGACATATAGAAAAGTGAGCCAGATACTGAGCTACTAGCAATTCTTCAGGCTCAAATCCTATCAGAATTAAGCGCTGTAGCGTTCTTAACTGAAGAGACTATGTCGAACATCGCAAAAAGTAATAATTAGGATGACGTGTCCGACTTCCTCGTTGTGTAGGGAGCGGACATGTTGGAAAGATCAGAGTAGAAACCGTAGATTGCAAGATTAGGCGAAAGTGTTATTTGGATACTTGGATGACCGTCAAGAAGACGCGTACGTTCTCTAAGTATCCATTTCATTGTTCTTCTCATCCATCCGTTATTTGTTCTTCTTATTATGTGACCGGCCCATTTGTCTTTCGCTACTGAAGCATATTCTAATGGATTTCAAAGAAGGAGTAGGTTAGGTCAGGAATATCTGATTTGCACATTCCGGCTAAACGTAATGAGAGCCGGCTGAACTTCTAAAGATATCGCAAACGCTCTGTGGGTGTGGGCGGAGGTTGGTGCGCTGACTTTTTCACGTGATTAATGTATCAACCCATGCCTCCGCAGAATATTTATATAATCAGGGAACCATACACTTGAATTTGTTCACCTTCGCACGATGGGTTCTTTTCGAACTGGGTCTTCTTCCGATTTATGCGTAGTCCGATCTTTTTTCGCACTTTGCTAAGTTCATCGAGCACCGTCTCTGCTGAGATGGCAATGTCATCCATGAAAAGAAGATTTGACAGGGATTTTCCATCAATACGTATGCCATTTTCGTCCTAATCGAATGACTTCATTATCTGCTGCAGTGCTGCACTAAGCATCTTTGGTCGTATGGTATCGCTTCGTCGAATCCTTTTTCTTATGGGTGTAGTGAGGAGTCGATGAATAAACTGTGTATTTGTGCTGTAGTTCCGATAACAGTCTGTTAATGTTCGTATATAGGACGGGGCCTCTCATTTCTTGGTCGAAGAACACTGATAGCATTGCATTCGTTTCGACGTTGTCAAACGTTTCCAAGTAGCCGATGAAAATTAGGACATGGTGCAGGTGCCTCTCCCGACAGACTACGATGACTCGTGACAGCTTTTAGATGTGGTTCATGCAGCACAATTCCTGTCATAATCCTGCTCGCTCAAGTGGTTGTGCCTCATACAAGGTCTTTTATGCGCGAAAAAGAGTAATCTTCGTTACATTCAACAAGCATATTGAACGGTAGTAATGAAGATCCATCGGTTACCTTTCCAGGGTAGGATAACCCTGTCCGACGTTCTACACTGGTCTGCGATTTTCTCTTTCTGAAGGTAAGATGTCATTGGGTTGCGAGAAGTACATGTAATTTGTGACCACCAGCTCTAAGGAACTCGACGGTGGTATTATTGGGTCACGGAGGTGTGTCTCTTTTCAAGCTTTCTATCGAAACTGGAACCTCTGACAAAAGAATTTCAGGTGGTTTTTCTCTAGCGGGGATTTCAGGGTTTGGGACGGTAAATGGGTTACGGAAAAGGTTGGTGTAAAACGTTTCCGTTATTAATTACATATCATGGCATGATGTAGTGATAGTTCCGTCATCGTTAATCGGGGTGGATAACAGAACACTATAGTCGCAAAGATATCGACGGCACTTCTTCGGAATGGATCGCTTCTGAGCTTCCTCCAAGAAATTTTTCTGCCTATGACGATCTAAATTCTCCTACTAGGGTCTTCTGTCTTCTACGTAAATATCTTCTACATTTATTATCTGCAATATTAGGTGTGTTGCAGTAAATACAAGCTTCAGTGTGCTTTTGTTTTCGAGTAACTTCTCAGCGGTAATGGAGATGCGGTTCGAACTTGCCTGAAAAACTGGGGCGAGTTCGGTACAAGTTTTAAGCCGTTCGACAAGAATTGTGTAGTCCTTGGTCAAATGTATCTTTGTCTGCCAGTTATATGAAAAAATTCTGTTGAGAATATCCTCCTTCATACTCGACTTCTGTCGTGTTTTCCTCAACGATAACAGGAGGTCTGTTCCAGTTTATGGCTGAAGCGAATATTCGCACGGAGTATGCACCGATCGGTTTTAGTACAGAATCCAAGTGCTACCGAAGTGTCAGAGAGGCACCATTATTCGTTCGTGAGAATATGATCGATCTTCACTGAGTTTTGCCATTAAGCGATTTCCATGTGCATCGGCTATTTTCTCTCTTTTCGAAAAATGAATTTCTGTGGAAGAGACGTGCTGCGGTCAGGAAGACTAGGTGACGATTTCCATTCCCACTTCGTTCGCCTATTCGAAATTTCCCACACATGTATTCATTTTTGCTGGTCTCTCCCGATGTGGAATTGAAGTTTCCAACAATGAATTTATAGGACGGCTTTTCGTTTTGGATTAATTCCTCTAACTAGTTGGAGAATGCGTATAATTTGCTCTCATCAGCTGCATAAGTTGGTGAGTAACAGCTGACGATAATGGCTTTCTTCTGACGGTAAAGTTGGAGATGAAAACTGGCCAAAAGCTAGGATTTCGTACGAATTAATTAGATCTGAAATAGATGTATGTAGGGCAAGGCCAATTCCTCCAACATTTCGCAACGGAAATTTCCCTCCACAAATAACAGGAGCTCCGTCATTTAAACGCCTTATGTCCGTCTTCCTGCTTCCCGTCTCTTGTAGAGCGACCACAAGGAATCAGATACAATAAGCAGTCTCAAGAAGAAAGTGAAGGCCGGCTTCCGAAGAGACTGTTCTGGCGTTATAGATGCACAGCAGGAAGCATTCTCCTAGGCGTGTCGTACGTGTTCGTTTTGTCCATTTTCACTGAAGTCCTGTTGAATCGGAGATTTGAACGCCTCTCACCGGTTGTCCATCGTCCGACATCGTAGGCGGGAGAGACCAGCGTGTGGGCCTGGGAGGCAGGAGATTTGCTTGTTTAGACATTGTGGTTCCCTGGAATCCGGAGGTCACTATGGCCGAAACCTTCCACAGGTCGTCCACCATCTAGGGCAGTTCCCGCACTTGCGGAACAGGTGAAGTTTTGCCACCCTGTCACTAGTTTAATGCCAGGACGGTGCTAATTTATGGTGTCGGTTTACTCTTCGCTGGGCTTCAAGATGTAAACGTGAAACTCCTTCACAGATTGGGAGACTGTGCATGGGGATGAACCCACGATCTACATTGCAGCACAACAGCCATGAACTCCTCCCAACCACGATGGGGCGGCAAACCGTTAGGAGGCAAATGAAAGTCAGTTTTAAAAAATCATGGGTGATTTTTGCTATTGCCATTTCTGCAGTGACTGTTCAGTATCAGCTTCAAAGGGAGATGTTCTTAATCTTTCAATTGACTCGATCGATTGTCGTTGAAAATGTTAGCCTGTAACAATTAAATTCGAAGTTAATACTTCTGCTTCTCTGCACTTGAACTTCTGTTCCACCCATTTTTTTTCGAAAAATTGCAAATTGGTGATTTCCTGCGGGTCGTGTGAACTCACCCTGACGTCTCAACTCGGAAGTTTCTTTCTGATGGAAAGCATCTACTGGTGCTTTGAAATACGATACTATTTTAGCACAGTTGTCAACTTTGTTTGATGGCCTGGTCATATCTCTTATCGATAGTTGGTTTTGGATATAGTCGCCAACGATTTTTTTTTCCATAATCCAGTTAGAGATTTAAATAGACCTAACGAAAAATCTAAATTTACATGGGTTTGGGATTTGCTTTCTTCAGTTTTGCTTTCTTCTCTCATCTATAAAAAAAATGCGAGAATGAAGCGATGGTCCAATCCTTTGGAGAATTTTAAAGCAACAGGGACGTCAACGTGATGAAACCCTTATTTTGATATGCTGTCGTAAATTTCAGTTCTAGTTTCATTACGAATTAAACATATAATGTTCAGAGCAGTGCTTTTCTACCTGTGAACTCATCAGTGATAACCCTATAAAAGGTAAGGTTTGAGCTGTTGAACGGCTTCAAGTCCATTCACATGCAGTGCTTCAAACTTGCTTTCACCACAACTTGATATGTCAGAGAGTAGGTAACGATGATCGTCAAGGCTGGAAGTGAACTATACCCTTTCAACCGTAAACGTTCAACGTTCAACATGTTCATGGCCAGGCTGGTGTTGCTTGACAAAAAGACGCCGACAGTGCAAGCTTCTCTACTGCAGAATGTTCTGACGGATAGTTCTTCTTTAGCACCATAAACTGTACCTTGTGAGCAGTGTCGTCTTGCCTCGGTCTAGTCCGATGACGTTTCACGTGATTCTCCTAGTTTGCGTTTTGAAAGGTTTTGATACCAGTGGATCCACTCTGTGGGCACAGATCATTTTATTCTTTCA